TGCCCCTACCCTGCCCCACTCCCTGACCCCATCCCTGCTCCTGCCCCGCCCCCTGCCCCCACCGCCGCTATGCGCCCCGCTCACTGTGGCCGCCGCAGGAAGTTGTACTGGCACATGATGGTCAGGAGGAAGCCCACGACGCCCTCGACCGCCATGGCCACCAGCCCGCGGGTGACAATGTCCCATTCGAATGGGGACTTCATCTTGTCAAACTGGCCTGTGGGGAGCCAGCTCAGGGCCTGTGCTCTAGGCCTTGAGGGGCCCCAACCGCCTCACCCACCCCACGGGCCCCCTCACCAATCTTGGCGTAGTACTCGTTGATATACTCGTTGTAGGCCATCTCCATGAGCCCGTGGCCCAGATTGTAGTTGGGGAAAATGAGGAAGCAGCTTTTCAGGTAACTGTTGACAACCTTCAGGTCCTGCGGGGTGGTCGGGGTCAGGCGCACAGCCTCTGCAGGGCCCGCCGCCCCCGCCATGTCGCCGCCACCCCACCTTGTCGTGCTCGAAGAGCTGTAGCAGGAAGGTCGCCACCGTGGCAGTGATGCCGATGAAGAGATTGATGACAATGAGGAACACGTAGGCCGAGCTGGGGACCTCAAACCAGAAGGAGGCCGGGTACATGATGGGCGTGATGGACCACCTGTGGGCAGGTGGCGGGCAGTGGTCACCAGGCAGCCCCGGCCCCACCTAAGGCCACTCCCTCATCCACTCCCCCTTACCCATAGAGCAGGAAGAGGGAGAGGACAGCAGGGAAGTTGGTGGGCGATGTGTAGGCCGGCAAGTCGAACACAAACAGGATGATGACGCAGCAGGTAGCGGGGACCAGGTAGTTGAGCTGCAGGGGTGGGGGTGGCTGGTGAGAGACCCGGGGCAGGGCGGGGATGGGGGATGAGAAGGGCCGGGGCACCCCTGTGGCCACGCCGGGCGCACCATGTCCCACACGTAGTTCGCCAGCCAGTAGATGACGGGGTTGCAGCCGCTGACAAACTGCAAGTGCTTCGCCTTGGTGGACTTCTCGGCCACCAGGAAGACGACGAAGCTGGCCGGCACGAACGACATGGCCACGATGATGAAGATGGCGATGACGACATCCGTGCCCTGCAGCCTGGAGCAAGGAAGCCCTCAGTCCTCACGGCCGGGCTGCAGCGCCCACCTGCCCCGCCTCATCCCCACTGGCCACACTTACAGGTAGTCCAGGGAGAGGCTGGCACTGGTCTTGTTCATGGGATGGTTGGTGACGGTGATGCCTGCACACGGCGGGGTGGGGGCGGCAGCTTCAGGCCTCTGCGCCATCCGGCCCAGCCCCAGCTCCTCCCCGTCCGGCCCCGCCTGCACCAGCTCACCGTAAGCTGCCGGGTTGCCCTTGCTCTTGGGCAGGTTGGCACGCAGGATGGCGTTGTTGAGGCTGTTGAGGTAGGTGGGCATGCTGTGATAGCCCTTGTTGTTGTAGAAAACCTGCAGCACGAAGAGGACAAAGGCCCCAGGAGCCCCGTGGGTCTCTGCAGACCTCAGGCGGCGCTACACACCGCGAAGCCCCAGGGCCGCAGCCTTGCTCACCTGGGCAGCCCTGCGCACCGCGATCTTCCGCACCATGGGTGGGGCCCTGGTGCCAAATGAGGCTGGGATGGACTTGAGGACGTTGCCAAAGGTGATGGCCCCATACCTGGGCAGGCAGGTGGGAGGGGCGGTGAGGCTAGGCAGGCAGTGAGGCTAGAGGGACAGGAGTTGAGACCAGGTGGCTAGTGGCTGGCCGCCCTCGCCCACAGCCTCCCCACCCAGCTCACCGGTGCAGTCGGAAGCGGTCAGAGGTGAAGAGCAGGTACTCAGAGACGTTGTGGCCGGTGATGTCAGTCAGGATGTCGCCTGTGACCACCCGCATCTGGGGCGGGTGCCCGCCCACACTGCTGGGGCAGGAGAAGCCGGTGCCCTGCGCGGAGCAGGTGCAGCGGACGGGCTCCCGTACCAGGTGCGGCAGGGAGGGCGCCGACGTCCACATTTCTGTGGGCACAGCGTGGTGCGGTGAGAAGGACCCCTCGCTGCCCCTGCCCCCCAGCCGGCCCCCGGAACCGCTACCTGGCCCG